AGCTGCTTTAGGAGAAAGTGTCGGCCAACTATATATACATGAACAGAGGCTCAGCATGATTTAGGAGCCTACAGCATCATCATGCTCATTAGTCAACTAAAGAGCATGATCATAAAAAAAAAATGTTAATGTACATTTATTCATGACATTCACTCAAATTTTCACATCGGTGAGGCCCAATAAGTAAACTTTATTTTACATAGCACTTTTCACAGATAAAAATCACTAAGTGCTTCAAAGAAAGCAAGAGTCGTTAATTATTGAATTATTTATTTGCCAGCTCTATTTTTAACTTGTTCAAAGACATACCTTTAATTTAAACTCCAGTTCTGCAAAACATTTTGTCTTTTCACATTGGATGACAACTTTCCCTCCCAACTCTAGCGTCATAGTGCCATACAGGAAACCTACAGGAGACAAGGCATTGCATCATTAGATACACAACCCATCAGATACCTTCACATTTTGCCTGTAATAGATATGATTTTTACTCCCTAGCTAATCTAAATAAGTCCTGCGTTAAAGCATGGTAATTATCCCACCATTTACTGTGAAGCCCTAAAATGGGCTGTGAGGAATTAAGAAGACAGAAATTTCACTCTGGACAATATATAAACATGCAAGATCTTGTGTAATTCTGAATATGGATCATGGCAGGAATACATTTCAAATAACCATGTAATTTCTCGTAACTCTGACATGTCGGCTGCAGCAGATGGTTGTAAAAGAGGCGGTGCACACATGATTTGACTGAACAGAAAGATGTCTTTGTAAACAGGGCAAATGAATTTGCATATTAGCTTCCTGAATTCTCAGTCAGTTGAAGAAGCGAAGAACTATGAGGCGAGTTTGTCAGGAAATAAATGCAGGAGGCCAGCACTGATTTTTTTTATTCAAAATAAAAGTGGAAATGTAGGAGTTAATTGCATAGTAAAAGCTATAACAATTTTTATATAGTTAACACACGCTTCGTATTTTTTTTTTTTTAGCTCTGGGTTTGTCTACAAACTCTGTGCATGGCCGAGTTTACAAGCAGCAAGTGAAGTCCTGACCGTCCTGCCTCTAGACACGTATTTATGAAGGGAATGGAAATTGAAGACACATCTTGTCTGATGTTCCATTTAGCTGCAAAATCTTCCTGCAGGGTGACACTGACCGAGTTACTTCTGGAAATAACTTTGTGTTCTCTTCCTTTAGATAATCTACCTGGCTTTCTTTCTGTGTTTAAACCCCTCTCGGACATAGACAAAGTCATGTGCTACCTTTCGTCCTATAACAACAGACTGAGTGCATCTGATTGGCTGTGTTTCTCTCCCAAATAAAGTCACTCAGAGTCATTACTGCCATTCACTAATTTCTTTAAAGTACTTCTGAATCAATGCTTCTGTGGACGTTTTTCCCCTCATCATTGTACTCGCATGCTCAGTATGCAGGATTGTTGCAAAGTTAAAGACTCGAGTTGATGTTTGCTGCCACTACATGCTTGTTTAGGTGGAGTAATGATGCAGGAGTCTGTGACTTTTACAATTTAAAGAGACATTTTAGTCCTTAGTCCAACAAACTAATATTGAATTAGAGTCGTAAGCATTAGATGACCTTTTGAAAAAGGACAACTTATAATTTTTGATCAATATCTACTATAGGGAATTTCTTCTCATATTTAAAAACTAACATTTTTATTAAAGCCCATTTACTATTTTGGATTTATAAATAAAGAAAAACAAACATTTTTCAAAGAGAGGATAAATCATTTTTTACATGAGATGTTGATTGATGTGGAAAATTACATATAGAAGAGCAATTATTCTATCTCCCTGAGACTTATTTCAGTCACAAAGAGAAAAAAGGGGCCATAGTTGACAAAATAGATAGTACAAGATTTGACTAACGCTACAAGAGATTGTCAAGTGTGTTTGTAATAGAAATATTACCTTTGCAGTGAGCGTAGGGCATGGTGATGGCATACTCCTCGTCTCTGCTCAGGAACCGAAGTCTAGCTTGGCCATCTAGAATAGCTGATAGAGAGTTACCTGCCAGAGAAAACAATGGACAGTTATTTACTCTTGTTGATAATTCGTGATACTAGTATTGAGTTGTCCAAACACTGCAACTCACTGCAAAATCAGTGTTAAAGCTGCAACCACGTGGCTGTGGTTATATCCCAATTTAAATAATTGTATAAACTAGTCTTTGATGAAGTTTCTTTAGTTTTGATGAACAAGACACAGGTAATAAATAGGCTGTGTACCATAGAACTTGGACCTGGCCAGGATGCTTCCACTGATACAGAAACCATCTTTCCTGTTGCAGACATAAAATGCAGAGATGGGAGGATGGTGCGACACCTGATGGAAAACACAAGGAGAGAAACATTTAAGCAGCAGAGCGACACAACCCAAGTGTCGGGTACCAAGCTTTAAAATTTACAGTTGCAGCATTGCGTAGCTGTGTGCTTTGCCGCATTTTGTTTCTCATGCTGTGCAAGATATTTCACACAATGGATGAGTCCTTCCCCGCTTTTTAGAGCTTTAAATCTGGGTTAACCTGCTCGGCTATGTAGAACGTGCAGCTGTCCGTCTGAGGATGGAGCCAGCAGCAGCGAAAGGTCTCCCCCAGAATTGGATTGTAAGGCTTTTTCAGACCCTGGAAATACAAAAACAGTCTCAATTAAAAACACCATGCAGCATGACTATCCGTCATGTTAGTTTGTTTAATTAATCAAAGTAGAAGTAAAAAAAAATATATATAGTAAAAGTAAAATATAGGCAAATATTCTGACTAAAGCATCAGTACAAAGTGGCCATCTGTAGGCTGCATAACAACAGATAATGAGTCTATGAATCCATGTATATGTATGGCTCAAAAGGAGTGAGCAACAAAAGTGCTGAGTAAGGCTGGATTGATCTACAGCCATTTTCTACTGGCTCCAGTGCTGCCTCCACACAGCAAATAAATCCCCAACAAGTGGAAGTGAGAGGAAAATGTCTCACTGACATTTTTACTGTTGAAATTTGTTATCCAGCTCACATATAAAATGTTACTTGATGTCTTTTGTGGTAATTGATGAGCCCTGAAATAACAACAAAAATGCAAATAGCCAAAAACGTTGCTGTGCAGCTGAGTACGAGTCTAACTGAGGACAAGGAGACCAGAGGATGTTATAGTTATCAAACAGCAAATTCTCTCATATTTAGATAAAAATCACTGAGCCTCAGTAAGATGATCATTTGATGAACTAATCAGGTTCCTTGTTTTAATGGATAGTTATAAAAGCCTATACACAAGTGCTTTCAGATTGGACTAACAAGGCTTTTCATTGCTGGTGTTATTGCTGAAGAAGTAACACTCAAAGGCAACAATCTTTAGTATCGGTAAAGAAAATAAGTCAGAAGAAAAACAGAAATTTAAGAATTTAAAAAGAAACTTTACAGTACATCTTTTCATTCAAGTTGTGACAGAGGGAGAGAGAGAGCAAGACTATCAGCAGATAACAGAAAGGCTGTCACGGAACATGCTAGATGCTAAATGCTGCCAGCCTTTTGGACAACTCAGTTAAAATAAGACCTGGTATTTGCCAGGGAAAACACAGGAAGTCAATTGTCTGGCAATGCTAGCCATGCTAACTGCTCTGTTTGATCTAATGCAAAACTAAAATAATAGGCTCTAAAAATTAAAAGTGATCATACCTTTGGCTTTTTGTAGAAGCCAGACAAATACCATCTCAGCACCTGCTTGATCCGACCGTATGCACTTTCTTCTAAAGAAGCCCTGTGGTTAAGTTGGAAAAAGAACATTTCCAAAGATGAAGGAAAATGTCATACGTAGTTAGGAATGTAAACTGTTTACCTAGTCTTGAATAAACACTTCTGAATAAAACAATACTAACTGGGACAGCAGATCAGCATGATAATAGTAGTCAGACAGCTTGTCCAGGAAGGAGCGAGGTTCAAGGATGAAGGTCGGTAGCACCACCTTTGACAAGTCCATGCCTGGTCGCAGCTGTTTCAGCAGGCCCCAGATTAGACCTTTGTTCTCCTCTGATACAGTCTCAACTTGAGAAGCTTCGCCAACCTAAACAAACACAAAGCCACCAGCGACAAACCTCTGGTTTGAAAACCATTCAAAATATATCTGAGCAACGGCCCAAGAGTGCATAATCATGAGTAGAGGGGATGAGGAGGAGAGCTACCGTTCAAGCAGAACCAGCCCGTTTACCTCAGCCATATCCTCCGTACTCTGCTCCACATAAGCTGTAGCTTGTGGTCCGGGTGGCATTTCTTCTGACGGCTCTATGTCGCTCTCCTCTGTCAGCCTTCCGCCGTTCTCATTGCCCATTGTTTCCCAGTCGTCATGGGCCTCGCGCTCCGATTTGTCTGATGAACCGTCATGCTCCATGTGGTTCAACCTGAGAAAAGCGGAGGAAAAACACAAAGGTAAGTGATATGCTACAATCAGTCCAGAGAAACAACCAGATCACAGCTTTCTCCTGTTGAAAATGATACTGTTTTTTTACTGAAAAATTTAAATTATTTTGAAATGAGAGGTGTATGGAAGCCCATTTCCACCATGAAAGCATGTCATAATTTCAACGTTCAAAGTCATAATTATGAGATTCAAAATTATAATTATGAGGTTCAAAGTCATAATTTCGACTTTCAAAGTCATAATTTCGACTTTCAAAGTCATAATTATGAGATTCAAAGTCAATTTTGACTTTCAAAGTCATAATTATGAGATTCAAAGTCATAATTATGAGATTCAAAATTATAATTATGAAATTCAAAGTCATAATTTCGACTTTCAAAGTCACAATTATGAGATTCAAAATTATAATTATGAAATTCAAAGTCATAATTTCGACTTTCAAAGTCACAATTATGAGATTCAGTCATAATTTCGACTTTCAAAGTCATAATTATGAGATTCAAAATTATAATTTCGACTTTCAAAGTCATAATTATGAGACAAGCCTCCTTAAAAAAACAGCGTGCTCCAGTACCCAGTTAAATTTGATCCTACATCCAAGGAAAGCATAATTAGTACTTCCTTATTCATTAACGTTTGCAACTGGGTTTAAGAGTCAGTGAAAGGTCGGTTCGCCTTTTTTGATTTTATTTGATTACAGTTGTGTTAGTTTTGTGTTGCCACGGAAACGCCTGCAGACTGGCTTTATCATATGTAAACGAATGAACTGTAAGTATCAGAAAAACGCAGCTGGATAGTTTCGGTTTAGATTCCCTCGTTTTAAATGCTTTTTGATCATGTGGCGAGCCCTTTTCGCACTGCAGGGGTCCGGCACGGAACGGCACGTTTTGGTCCGGTTCCACCCGTACTGCAACCCTGTTGTGTTTGCATATAACTTAGGGCGGCATCGAAGCTGTACCTGACGTCATTATTTTTGAAACTAAACAATGATTTCGATGTAGCGGCCGAAGCCGTTTCTTCAAAGATGCGGCGGAAAACCTTTTCTTTCCTCTCTGATGTAGTTCGTTCTGTACTCGTTCATCAGGGAGTAAGCGGAGGAAAAAAAATGACCTCATCATGGGACCAGGTAGCAGCAGAATATTGAGAGGAATTCATTGCAAATTAAAAATAATAATAATAATAATAATAACAAAAATATTAAAAAGAGCACTCTTTACAAAATACAGTATGAACAGTTTAGTGAGAGCCAGCTAGAACCGATCAACGGTTGGCTGCAAAACAATCAACGGCTGACTCTAAACCAATCAGCTGCTGAATTCTAAGCAGCCGCACTTGGCCGGCCACACAACTCTTGTGGTTCCAAGGAGCCGGGTGGAACCGGGTCGGAAGTTCTAATGCAAAAATGGTCGGCCCTACTTTGAACCCGTGCCGTGCCATTCCGTTACGTTCCTTGCAGTGCGAAAAGGATGATGTGTATATTAGTCGTTGTCTTAGCAACGTGAGCTAGCTGCAGGTTAACTGTCAAAGCGTGCTAACCTTGTTATAGCATATTTAACAGGGTTTTTTTTTTTAAAGTAGTCCGTTAATTAGATTGTTTTTATTTCAGAGTGCGATAAGAAGTTCGTTAATGTACTCCAAAAATTCAATAAGTTAATATGTATAATTATTTTGTGGCATAAATACAAGCAATAGCTACTAGGTTAAAACAAGCTCCACAGCTTGTTGCACGTTTTGTTATGCATAATGTGATTCACTATCTTTCCCGTTAAATTGTTTTTGTCGATACATAGACAAGAGTAAAATATGGAAGTACAATATGCATCAGTTTTCAAACTGTTTTCTTAGCAGTTTCATGTACACTTAAGCTATTGCTGGAGATCTGCAGCTTTAGATTGACAATATTTATAAAAGCAATTAAAAATAAGAAAAATTGAAAAACAAGAAACTTAAAAAATCCCCAAAACAGGCAGGCCCTGTTGAAAAGTTTAACTCCTCAACTTTACTCAACTTTCAGGATGCCTACAAAAGAGACAGAAGAGGTTCCTTTGACCTGAACCTAAACCTAAACAGAGGTAAGTTGCAACTCTTGTGAAAATCCAGTTTATCATATTATCTGTTTAAATGAAAGTAATTAAGATCAAAACTAAAATCATTCTGATGATGTTCATGTACTTGACTCTTTTATAAAGATGGGAATTTCATTTTGAGAATTGTTCAACCATTGAACTATTTTAGGGGAGAAATGTAAACAGAACTTTCAGACCTAAGCTCTACACTTTACCATTTAGATGTGGAGACACTGGTAGATTTTTCTTTATTACTTTTATGTAGTTTCTTTGTGTATTGGTTTATGATTGCAGCTGTTTGGTTGTCTATTATCTTTTTTTTTTTTAGCAGGAGCTTGAGTCTGAAATACAGTTTCTATCTGTCATGTAGGGTTGGACAATAAATCAGTTATATGTATCCCGATACACACGTGATCAATATCAATAGATAGTAAGTCTGATAGAATATTCAATATATAGAATATTCTCTGAACTCTGATCCAGAACCACATACCATTCTGGAGGATGTAGGCAGAGTAAAGGATACTCAACCTCTCAAGTCTATCAACAAGCTGTTGAGTAACTTGCGGAGCAGCAGTTTAATGTTTCACCACTGTGCCTCATAAATGTTTTTAAAAAACATTATGGTGTGAAAGCTGTGGATAAAATGGGAAAGGTCACATCACCAGTTTGGCAGTATTTCAGATATTAAAAAAAAAAAAAAAATGATGTAAAATAATAAAAAATGCTTGTATCGTGAAATGTTTTTCAGTAATATCATTCAACCCTATTTTCATGTTCATAATAAATTTTTTGCAATGTTATGTTTTATTAGACATTATTCATTAGTTATTGTGTGTAATTGTCACAGGATGGATGAAATTGACTTCTTAAAATCACGGGATGTTTCAGAGGAAGTCATACAACGACTGCAAAAGGATAAGGTAGCTAGATTGCTAAGGAAATCAGTACATTTAGAAGTTATCATAAAAAATTATTATAGAGACATGGTGAAGACAGATCAGTTTTATCATGTGGCTGTTTTTACTGGGTTTTCCCCCCATTTTTATAGGTTAAATAACGGTTTTAACTTTTGTTTTCTAGATTGACTCCAGTGTCCTTCTGCTCATGACAGATGAGCAGCTTAAGGAGTATCTCCCATCTTATGGTGACCGACTGGCACTTCTCGGATATTGCAGACGAAGGGAAAATGATCCTGCTGGCCGGAAATCAAAACTTTTTGACCGATTGAGAGCCAAGATTTCAAGGAACAAAGGCAACGATCAAAAGCAGATCTCAGAAAATGTTAGCATCAGAAATGCTCAAAAAAGTGTTCGAAAAGTTGAGATAGGATGGATGAATTCTCGAGATGGGAAGTTTTTTCAAGCTCGGACAAAGAAAGGTGGTGGAACAAGAAAAATTGATGTGTCAAAGGACTGTAGAAAAAATGAATTAATTGAGAAGGCAGTGGGTTTGTTTTTTCCATCTCAAATAGATTCACAGGGAAGAATTACAGATTTTGAGGTTGACATGACAGATTTCCAGGAACATTCACTTGATGAACATATTACAGTTGGAGAACTTTATGAGCAGACAAAACTACCTGTTTTGCGTTTTTACCTAACAACCAAAAAAGACACTGGCAGCGACTCAGAACCAGACAACCCCAGTGGAAATGACCAAGACACTTTAAGGTTTTCTACTCACTCTCAAGTTTGCACACCACTGACTCAATCCAAAGCACCAGACAGCATTGATGCCATATATGTTGGAACCAGCAGTGTCCTGACAAACAGCAGCAGTGATAATGTTCACTTAGTGATTTGTCCAATAATGTCCAAGAGCTAGATGCAGGAATCAATGGGGACATTTTAGAAGACAGTGGCACTGTTACCTTTTTCACAGGACACATTTCTGACACAGATAGTCTCGGTCTTGATGACACCCTTCCTCTGTCTCCACAGCCATCTAGTCCAGTGCTTTCTTCTTCACAATTTGATTCTTTGAACGAGCCAATTGTTCAGAGAGAAGGGATTAAGAAAATCCTTGTTCTTCACCGTGGCCAGATCCTGAAAGAACTAATTTCACATTTTTGTGATCCAGGTGTCACTCAGGAGGACATATGTATTCAAGTGGTGCTCCCTGATGGAAGGCGAGAAAAGGCTGTTGA